CTGATGGAGGGATGTAGGGGAGAAGTAGAAGTTACTTTGTTAAAGTAGGTGCCAGCTAATAAATGGAGAAGAGATGATGGAAGTGGAAAAACTGTCATTTGGCAGCCATCTGGGTTAATGCACATAAGACTTACCAGTGAGGGAGTAAACAAAGAAAAGATGGGAAAAGACTACTGATACAGTTTCTCTAAACACTTACTAATTACTTATGATAAATTGAGAAACCTGGCAGACAACATAAAAACAAAGTAATAAAATGAACATCTCAAGTTACGGGACAAACTGACACTATGTGCCTTCTGATATAAATTAACAAGAAAACAGTACCTCTTTTGTCATGTATAAATCATGACAGAACATCAGACAAACCCAAATGGAAGGAAATTCCAAAAGTTGCTTCAAAAATTTCAAAGTCATTAAAGACAAGAAAAGATTTGAGTTACTGCTCAGTACTGAAGGAGATGGAGACAAATAAATGCAACCTGTTTCCTAGAATGAATTCTAGATCTAGTAAAACAAATGAACAAACAAACAAACAAACAAACAAAAAACACATGATTAACTGGTAAAATGGGTAGGGTCTATGAATCAAATGGTAAAATCATATTGGTGTGAATTTCCTGATTTTTATAACTGTATTATAGTGATACAGATTGTGTCTGCTTTTAAGAAGGACATGTTGAAATATGAAGGAGTAATGGGACATCTTGTCTGCAACCTGAGAATTCAGATGATTCAGGAAGACACACACTCCTTTATATGTAAGTGTGTGTAACTGAAAGGAGGGAGAAAGAACTGTTAACCGGGGGTCCGGGCGAAAGACATATAGGAACACCACACACAATTTTTTTTAACTCTTCTGTAGGTTGGAATTAGATAATGAACAACAAACATAATGAGTTAAAGAGAGAATCTAGACTTAACAAAGCTGGGAAGTAGGCAGGGAGCTCTGTTTTAACAAAAGTATTACAGGGAGCTCAAGAATGGGAGAAATTTTGGAGTCACCAAAGTACCTGACTGAGAATACCACAGAATGGAGTAAATCTCTTCTTCTGAGTCACCTAAGGGAGATCACTATATATCCCTGGGTAGGAGATACATTATTTTCCTCCTTAAACATAAATAAAAATGGAGAAAGTTATGTAAAGCATGTAAGGACAGCTTAGCATGATCTGTTGAGGAGGTGGCTACAGGGATCCCACTTCTTGCTCCTGAGCACTGGCCCTGGAGGCTTCCTACTACTGCCTGGCCTTTGGCTAAGGAAGGTGCTGTCAGAATGTTCCCTGGACAAATGGGAGGCTGGGAGGTGAGAGGATGGACCCCATGCCAGCCACCACAGGAAGCTGGTAATGCTGGTATCACCCACAAAGCAGTCCTAAACAAGGTCACAAGGAGGACAGGACAGGCACAATTTCTGAGAACCATTCATTCTCACCCAGGGCCATTATGTCATCTGGTTTCATTCTTAGTACAAAGCCAGTGAGGAGGAATTACTAACTTCATTGTAATGATGACAAAACAAAGTAGAACAAGTTAAGTACCCTGCTTGGGATCCCAAGCTAGTAAGTGCTGAGCTTTGATTCAAATCTAGGTTGTTCTGGCACCTGGGTCCCTGCCCTTGCTGCTAGGCTGGGCTACTTCTCTGATATTTGAGAGCTTATAAGTAAGATCTTGCCCCTTGCAGATTTTTTAGTTAGTGCTACAGAGAGTAGTAACCACAAAAAAGTCAACCGCCACTTGAGTTCCTTCTCTAGCCTTAGGATTCTTTGACTAAAGGGAGGAAGGGCTTCCTAAAGACCCGTAAAATAATACTCAATCAGTAGGTGTTATACTTGGATTTTTTTTTTTTAAACAAGAGAGTCTATGGTTTTCAGTGGGTTCTTAGGATCTGTAACTCATAAAATGTTAATAGCTTCAGGCATCATTCTGTCTCTCTCCTCTGAACAAGAGGAAATGGAGTTATTTAACTCTGTCTTCTACTTCAAGCTTTAGCAGCTTTGTTTGGAGCCACAAAAGCACAACTTATAGAGTCCTCCTCCCTTGAAGAGCTTGCATTGCTTCCTATGGCCTGGAAATATCCTAGTGAGGCCACGTGTAGGACAAGTGGCCAGCACTGCATCTTCTGTAAAGGCAGTGCGAGGCCCGGAGGAAGGGAGGCTGGTTCTCTGCCCAAAATGTCATGAACAATCAGTAGACTTTATGTGAACTAAGAGCACATGAAGAGTAGATATCAGAACTACTATTACAATTCAGGAAAGTGACTCTTTAGACCAGGTTGGTTTTGGACAAGGATGTGGTTATCAGAAACAAGCACTTTATACCCAGGCCCAAAAGCTTTCAAGTTTTTTTGAAAAAAGAATTTTAATTTTTATTAATTATTAATAAAAGAATTTTTGTTAGAATTTGAGTTGATAAGGAAAGCTAGGGACTCTGGTGGGGCTGTTCGAAGATGTGCTAGTCTAACAGGTAAACAATCCTTTTTCCTCTGTTCTTCAGGGGTTGTCTTACAAACTTTTTATGGGAAAACTTTTTTTGGCATGTATCACTGCATCCTTCTTGGGAGGAAACTTAAGAGTACAGAAGATAGGGTGCTCCCAAAGGACAAAATTGCCCCTCTGTGTCCCTGCCGGACACATGCACAGAAGACAGAGAGCAGCAGGGAAACCTGGGCTCCAGAAGGCAAACAATGGCATGCCCAATGTTTTTGCCTTGAGGGAGGATGGTTGTTTTGGTTAAGATGGAAAGTCTTTTATAAAGTTTAGTTTCTGGGATTTTAATATAAAATATTTTGTAATCAAGGAGTAAGACAGTAGAAAGAAGTGGGGGCTATCATTTATAAAATCAAATAGGTGAAACCAATACTGTGGTATCTTGGTTCACAAATAGTTTTTGTTGCAAACAATTTGGTTTGCAAACATTAAGTGTCTGGCAAAATTTTGTTTTTGTTTGCAAACCACAGCCATCTTTTCCACACGAACACAAATGTGGTCATTGTTTCCAAAATCATGGTTGTGAACTGAGGTACCACTGTACCGACTCTCCTTGAAACATTTTCTTACTCTTATGGCTTCCCCTGAAACAACCGAAAACAAGAATTTGGTAACCCATAAAAGAAGCATAAAAAAGAGGGGTGGGAGGCTAGATAAAGAAAGTCCTAAATGTTTCTCCAGAGATTTCTCCTCAAGAGCTTTCTCAGAGCCACTGCTATTTTCTGTGTGAGCCATTCTTTGCCCTCCTAAGGCCCTTCTTTGAGCCTAGGAAGGTTGTCTCTGGGTAGCCTGTCCTACTCCAGAAACCCGACTTTCTAGCATAGTGAGGCTCTCAACAGTGCTTTGGTTGTGGTGACTGGTGATGAGGAGGGATCTTTCTCCTTTCTTAATATTCCCAACATGAATAATGGGCTGGACGTCAAATTCTCCTCTGGCTGAGAAGAAAGCAGGCTGTGGTTGGCTGATCTGTAAGCACTGGAGGCCTGATCCAGGCACAAGGAAAAAAAAAAAAGAAAGAAAGAAAAAATATCGAGGCCTGTGACTGCGTGAAAAATGCAGATTAAATTTTTGTGCAGGGGTCTAAACTAAAATAAGAATTCATGAGTCCATACTGATACAGATACGAATGGGAAGAAGAGAAAACTTCCATACAGCACAGCTCCAACACTCAATGCAGGAGAAATGACCATGCAAACAGACACTGACAACTGCTGTAGGCCGTTAGCAACCAAGGCTGTAAAGTGAGTGGGTAAACCTGTGCTGAGCAACAAGGTATTCAAAGGTCTCCAAGTATCTCCACAAGATACTTTAAAATTACGAAGAGAAAACACTGATTCCACAGCAGAGAAAGCAGGCAGGGATCACCTTACATAAGTGATCCAAGTTAATAAAATCATCATGATGTGCTGCCCAAGCTGCTGCACTGAGAAGGATGAAACGTTACTTCTGTGGTCCTCTTGCCAAAAACACGTAACTTAGATTTAGTCAAGAAGAAACGAGGCTACTCAGGAGGCTGAGGCAGGAGGTCAATGGGAGCCTAATAGTTCAAGACCAGCCTGGGGAACATAGTGAGACCCCATCTCAAGAAACCAAGAAGAAAGAAAACCAAAACAAGGCCTCAGGCAAACTGAAATTGATGGCACTGTATTTTTGAAAAGCTAGTCATATTCTTTTTTTTTTTTTTTTGGTCCTTTTCCTTTTTATCGGTACCAGGGACGAACTCACGACTGCCTGCTTACAAGGCAGGTGCTTATGCCGCTGAGCTAAATTCCCAGCAGTCACTAGTCATATTCTTCTCCCTTTATTTTTTGTTTTGTCTTTTTCGTTTTTATCGGTACCAGGGATAGAACTCAGGACTGCCTGCTTGCAAGGCAGGCGCTTATGCTGCTGAGCTAAATCTCCAGCCCTGCTAGTCATATTCTTAACAAGCATCGAAATCATAAAAGATTCCAAAATCATATGGAATTAATTCAAGATTAAAGAAGACTAAAGAGACCTGACGGATAAATGTAAGATTATTAGGTTCTGAACCAGAAAAAGGATATTAATAAGACAATGTTATCTTCCTTATGTTGATAACTGTGTTATATATTAACATTTTCTAGAAAGATTACATGAAAATTTTTTGTCCTTTTTTTGACAGTAAAATATTACTTCAAAATGAAGTAAAATTACATGTGAAAGCATGTACTTTTGTTTGTTTTTTGTTTTTTTGAGGCAGGGTCTTGCTATGTAGTTCAGGCTGACCTAGAATTCATTATGTAGCCCAGGCTGGTCTTGAATTCACAACAATCCTGCTTCAGCCTCCCAAGTGCTGGGATTACAGGTGTGTACCCCCATCCCCAGCTCAAACTTGGGTTTCTAAGATTGAGGTGAAATGATAATACATAAACTTCCAGGGAGGGTCACAGGTATGTTAAGTCCCTTCTTCAGTTTCTGGAAGGAGTGAGCCCTTAAAAAACCCAACCTGATGAGAGGAGCTAGTAACACAGGCAGGAAACAATCACTTACTTATCCTGGGACTCAATATACACATAGAGATGAGGCTCAAAACACTTGGAAACAATGCCATGAAATGGGTTGTCTGGCGCTTTAGGCTTCTTTGGCTGTAAAGAAAAAAGAAAAAGAGAAAGAAAACTCTGCATCTCAGCAATCTTTGCAAATTCTCCAACAATTTCAAAACATGTCACTTTACAGTTCACTCTTAGCTCTCAGATAAGTGAGCACTCAGTATAATGAAAGTGGGAACATGTCTTGCACTGTGATTGATCCCGTCTGTGAACAAGACGCCAGCTTTGTTCGCATCATTTACTTGCTTGTATGATGAAAGATTTACTGCCACTCTGATAACACATGCATTTTCAATTTGGAAGCTATCCCTCACCTGATTGATGTTTTAAAAGTTTAAATGAATGACCTTCTTAAGAAACACACACTGAAATGTTTAGGGTAAAAGGTATTATGTCTATAGCATTTCCAAACTGATATGTAAGTAAGGGGAGGGAGATAGTGGGGAGGAAATAATAAGTAAATATAGCAAAGTGTTAAAAATTACTGAGTCCAGGTGAAAGATATTCAGAAGTTCCTCAAAGATTGTCTTTGAACTTTTCTCTACAGGAAAGAAAAACAAAATGAAGCCAGTAGGGTGGCACACACCTGTAACTAGTACTTCAGAGGCTGAGGCAGGAGGATCATTGCCCAGCCTGGGCCACCTAGTGAGTTCAAAGCTAGCCTGAACTATATAGCGAGAACCCAGTCTCAAAAAAACCAAAAACCAAACCAAAAAAAAACTAAGGCGGAATGGTGCCCATGGCCTAGCAGAGAAAACAAAGCGGCAGCAGGGGCTTTCTTAAGAAATGCCTATCATTGACATTCTGCAGCATGGAAAATAACACCAAGGAAACAAATGCAGGCACCCAGTCTGGGAACTAGATTGATTCCTGGTTCTAACAATGCTGTCACCACTGGGGGAAGCTGGCAGATATGTATACAGCATCCCTCTGTGCTGTGTTGATCACTTACAAGTTTATAAGTATTGCAAAATATAAAGTTACCTTTTCAGTTTCTATTCTATTCCGTTCTGAGCAAGGTCTCACTCTGTTGCTCGGGCAGGCCTCAAAGTGTTGGGCTCAAGCAATCCTCCTGCCTCAGCCTCCCATAACACAGCTGAGGCTACAAGGTCCTCCACAGCACTCAGTAAAATACTGGGGTTTATTTGTTTGTTTGGTTTTCTGTGGGTACTGGAAACTGAACTCAGGACCTTGCCTTTGCCAGGTAGCACTGCACCACTGAGCTATATCCCTGAGCCTTAAAATAGCAGTTTTTATTTTTATTATTATTATTTTTTTTTTGTCTTTTTCCTTTTTATCGGTACCAGGGATCGAACTCATGACTGCCTGCTTGCAAGGCAGGCGCTTATGCCGCTGAGTTAAATCCCCAGCCCCCAAAATAGCAGTTTTTAAATAAGTGATTCTGAAGAATTGGACTCTGCATGTGAATAAATTTTAGCAGTTTCTTGATCTATTTATTTTGTTTACAGTTTCCTTTTTATGTATGCATAAAAATGATATATCATTTAAAAAACAAAACAAAACAAAACAAAACACCAAAACCGTGAGTCTGAAAAAGTTTGAAGGGCTCATTTGAAAAGCATAAAATACAGACCCGAAGCGATAAACAAAATGGCTTCATGATACTTCAACAAGCTTAGCCTGACCAGTCCACACAGCGCTTGACGCAGCCCCACAGAAAACTCAGAGAAAGCCTCACCAAGCAGGGCTGCTGTCCCCTCGCCACCCAGTGACTGCACTGTGCTGTCATTGTAGTGAGGAGGGGCTACTTGTTCCTGCAAGCAGCACACAGGTCTTCTTGTCGTATTTGCAGTGTGAACTGAAGCACGACAGGAATGCCTAAGTTTCATTTTCTTGTTTTTCTCCTGAGAGGGTTGCCTTCTGCCTATAGCTGGTTTGTGACTGTGAGTGTGTTCTGAGATAGCTGATGCTGGAATCTCTGCTCAAACTGGTGTCTCCCTTTGCACTCTGTAGCTCCCCAAAGGGTTGATCCTTAGCTTAAAGAACATACTAAGTCATTTAGCAGTAGCATTCAGGCTGGATTTCTGAGTGTGTGAATTCTATCCAAAAGCTGCAGACGTTTAAGCCATTTCCTCCTGGAGTTTGATGGAATAAAATAAAAGGTTACTGTTGTCACAGTAAAGAGGTCTGCAGCTGGTCCCATTTCCTTTCATTACTATCCAATGTAAACAGATTAAATCTAACTGCTCAGATCACCAGAAGGGTACATTTTTAAACCAAAAATTCCTGATTTCTTTCCCCTTTCAGTACCCCCAGTCCTTTTTGAGATACATTTTTTTTTTTTTAATTCCTGGGACTATCTTGGCAACTAATTGTTGTAGCCCTCTTATAAACTGAACACTGTTTCTCAAGTTTACTCTGCCTTCTGCAACCAGGTGTAGATTCTAGAAATGAGCAAACAGTAAACCTGACCTTGAGGGCCAACTGCCTACTGACTGCAGCAACACAAGGCCTGGTAACCCAGGGGAACCAGTAAGGGCTTCCCCAACCACTGCTGGCTGGTTCCTACGAACATCCTATGGAGTCCGCAGCATACCACAGGGCTCCTGCTCATCTGTGAACCTACCTGCAGAAGCCAGTAAGGTGCTGGGAAGAGGGAAACCCTGGGTCTCCAGCTAACCAGCCACAGGGAAGACAACTGCTGATGAAATGACTGTAGAAGTCAGGGTTACACTCAGGAGGCATTAGTCACTGATATGTGAATTTTATTACTAAGGAGGAACAGTCCATGAATTACTAGTGATCATCTAGTACAGGGCTTTTCTTTTTCTTTTTTGTCTTTTTGAGACAGGTCTCGCTACACAGTTTCGGCTGGCCTTGGGCTCACTTTGTAGTGCAGGCTGGTTTAGAACTTGCAAACAATTCTTCTGCTTCAGCCTCCCAAGGGTTGGAATTACAGGAGTGTGCCATCATGCTTGGTTATTACAGGGCTTTTCATTTCATGTCTTCTTTTACTTTAACAGATGTAAAATCCTAGGTTCAAATGAAATTTTTACCTGGAAGTCCACAATACAAAGTTCTACATTGCTCTAGCTCTCACATCTTTCCCAACTCTCAAGAGCAAACTATATTGAGGAATACAGTTTGAGGACCATTAATTAGCATTCTCTGAGATACAGCAGGGAAGTCCAGAAGAGGAGATGGTCACTCAATTCCCTACTCTCAGTGGGAGACCTGAAGAAACCTCTGCTTCTCCTGTATTCTCCAGTGGTATGATGGCTTTAATCAGCTATATCTATTTCCACACATTGGCTTCAAGACAGTCCTTCGGTTTTGTTCATTCTCTTTTCTATGCCTTCCACTTTTTAATGAGATGTGACTGTACTAAGGATAAGAGCCTGGGAAAGGAATTCTGGTCTCTGATTTCCAGACTTGGCTTCCAGTCTTAGTTCCTCTATTTCAAAACTAAAACTCCACCTGGCCAAATTGTTGTCTCTGAACGACAGTTGCAATACCTATGAGACAGTCACTGTGAAGATCAAATGAAATAAAATATGTAGAAGATTTTTAAAATTGCTGCTGGGCATGGTGTTACACATCTGTGATCCTGGCACTTGGGAGGCTGAGGCAGGAAAATTGCTGAGAATTCCAGGCCAACCTGGGCTACATAGTGAAGTCAGTAGCAACCTGAACTACATAGCAAGGTCCTATCTCAAAAACAAATATAAAACAAACAAAAAACAAAACGGGAAAAAGCAAGCAGGGCTAGCTGTAAAGTGTGCACCCATGGGTTTTACAATTCTGGTCTTTCTTTCTTTTCAGCCTCTTTTTGGTGGTATCTGGAGCAAAATAATATAATAATAAAAGAATCCTCTAGTAGCCAAGTATAGAAAATTAAGAAGGATCACTAATCCAGAAAGGAAGAAAATGTTCTGATTTATTTCTCTAACTTCTCTTGTCATAAAATGGTACTGAAACAAAAACACCATTCTGTAGCATGAAGGGAGATGAAATCTAGAGTTGGCAGAAAAACTGAAGGAAATTAAAGTGCCTGTGTGCTCTGAAAAGTAATTCTCCAAAGATGCCTTTGGTCACCTTGATATTTCCAGGCCTTTCTATGGCTTCCAGACCTATAGTGATCAGCTCGTACTGCGCAGAGGCCTCTCCCAGCCCATGCTGCTGTTAACATCTCTGGATCTTTCACATCATTACTGCACCAGACCACAGAACAGTGGAGAGCTGCACTGACAAGCTCAGAAGATGATGAATGAGGCAGAGCAAAATTTTGCTGGCTCTGCTGCATGAGCTGGTTAAGCCTGTGCATGTTGCTAAATGCTGGAGAGGCAGCTCTCTGGGAACAGAGGCGGCAGGATAGGCTGCTCTTTCTCTCAGTTATCGGAATGCACTCTCAGATAAATGCCCTCTGTAAAGACCCCACTGCTATAATCTCTGAACGTGGCCACAGCCAATGGCTCATACTTGAAGAGAGCCAACATTTTCAAAAAAGAGTAACAGGTAGGTTACATGTGGCAATGCAGAACAGACTTACTTGATCTAACTCTCCCTTTTCCATTGCCAGCTCCTCCATCTCTGGTGTTGGTTCATCTTCCAGGAAGGGATTGGTAGATGGTGGTGGAGACTCCAGCTTTTTCTATTAAGAAAACATGGGAAAGAAATACTCTGAGCATACTTAGTAGCCTTTCCATTGATCTTCCCATTGAGTTTCTGCTTTCTCCAAGCCCTCTGAAGAATAGAGTCATGAAATTTGATCTTTGTAAATTAGAATAGAGGCAATGTGGGACACAGTCTTGCCTCCAGGCCTTCACATTGCTTTCCTGTCTTTGTATTCTGGAAACTTTATTATTCATCCCAGCACAGTTCTCATTATCCTTCAGTCCTCAACCGAGAAGCCCCATCTTTTGGGAAGTGTCTTTATCCATTTAGGTCACATGCCCTTGCCATGTGCTCCTGTTCCATACTGCACTGCCCCATGCAGTTACTTACTAAAACATGCAGCTGCCCATTTATTTCCACCTCGCTAAATGCCATCATGGCAAAGATCATGTCTGTCTTGTTCCCCATGTTAACTTTGGTGCCTGGCATAGAATAGGTACTCAATAAACATCATCTAGCCCAAATGCCAGGTGGGTTTGAATTCCATAATATACTATAAAATTAATCTCATGTATCCTAGATTATAGACAAAAGTCCCTTCCCAAATAAGGCCTGTTACAACAACCAACTAAAAAATCCCCATGACAAAAACTACTACCTAGCTCCCAAATATAAACACTATTTCAAAAATAAATTACTGAAAGGGACCATGGACTAATGGGAAACTTGTGGGCAGAGACACTGATTTTTAGCTCCAATTCTGTTCTGCTTGCCACAATGTCTAGTTTCTCTGAGCTACAGGAATTTCATTTGTTGAATGAGGATACAGACATACAGAAATATATTACACACAACTGTATTGCATTTGTTCTCACATATATTCCTGTGTGGTTGTTGGACCATGCAAAATACTGCAAAATACTGTTTGTCACCAGAATATTGCGAGAACTATTGTGTTACTAATGATTACACAAACGTAGTATAAGTGTGTGAAATTCTAGAAAAGCATGCTGCATACAATGTTAATTCTAATGCAACTGCTGAATTCAGCTTTCTAGGATTTTGTTTCTTTGTTTTTCTACATTTTTTACCTACAGATACTGTTTATGCTCCAGATGCTGGGAATTTTAACAGAAAGGAAGCTAAGCAACAATCAGAATAAAAGGGATTTGAGATGGTTGGTGACAGAGCAAAGGATGGCTCCCCAGAAATGGGAAGCTACGGGGAGAGTTTCTAAATGTGCTTGTGACATTTCAGCATACACCAGTAAAGCAAGCTGAATTAACCCCTAAACCAAAAAGGACAGCAGATGGACTACAGTGTGAATGACTTTGCCAAGTGCCAGGACATCACATGAAGGTATTACAAGCAAAAAAGAAGAGCAAAACTTAACAAAAACTCCATCATCTTCCGGTTTGGGATTGAAGATAATTCTGCTTACATGAATTTAAGCTACTCATTTCTTGTCCCGAACACCTGGAAAGGCTATTGTGTGAATAGACAAGAGCCTAAACATATGAAGAAAACCTTGTGATGCTTGTATTAGCTCCCAGCAATCATTAGTAATACAATCGTTCTTGCAGTATTCCAGTGAGAAACAGTATTTTGCAGTATTCTGGCATGGTCCAACAACCACATAAGTATTTCAAATTGGCAATCTCTGAACTTGGGCTTATTTCCCTGGTATGGTGTAGAGGGGAGAGGGAAATCTCTATAAACTTAAAGCTATTTTTAGAAAGCAATATATTTAAGCTTTAGTCATCTTTTTAAGAACTGCTGCTATTTTGGAAAGAGATATATAGTTTAAACTTCAGCAACAATAAAGAAGTGAATTTTAAAAAAATAAGTGAATTAATCTGGGTGTGGTGGTTCAAGCCTATTATTCCCAGCTACTGAGGTGGCTGAGATGGCATGATGTCTTGAATGTAGAAGTTAGAGGTCAGCCTGGGAAACACAATGAGACCTTGTCTCCTAAAAAAAAAAAAAAAATTAGATAATAGCATTAAACTCCTGGTTCTACTGATTTAAGAATGAGTTTTGGAGTTGTACTACTAAACTGAATCACTATGATTCTGAGTCTTTTGGTGTGCAATAGATATAGAAAGGAAGCCAGTTAATCTAAAGCTTTGTTCAAAACCATTCAGTGATAGAAACAAAATTTGACTTTTTAGCTTGCTTTCTCTCTCTCCCCTGCCCCGCCCCCGTCTCTCTTATCATTGCTAAGGACACCAGGGCTCCATTCAGGTGAGCTTCATTTTTAATGAGGACATCGTAACAAAAAGTAGATGTCAATGAAATGGGCTAAGACTGTTTCTGGTCTCTACTCTACCTGGTAGAGTATGTCGAATAGATAAAAGAAAGAAGTAGCACAACATAAAAGGCAGCACCAACCAAACAGAATGACACGTCTGCATAGTCTTTTGTGGCCCCCAGTAAAATCTTCTACTTAAGATCTTTACATTGCACATAAACAGTTTGGTTTTATACAGGAAGTGCAGAATCTAATTTAGATTTTAGAGATAGGGTCTTGCGGTGTTGCCCAGCCTGGCTTTGAACTCCTGGACTCAAACAATCCTTTTATCTCAGCTTCCGGAGAAGCTGGGACTACAGATGCACCCTAATGTGGGTTTTTAAAGTATCATTCATGGTCACAGGGAGAGTAGATTGTAATAGAAGCAAGAACTCAGTTTCTGAGCTTGCTGCAGTGTTCCAGGCAGACCTGATGAGGACTGGACTAAACCAGTGACGTGGAGACAGAGAAAAGTGGCGAGATCAGGACATGTTTAGGAGAGAAGCCAAGAAGACTTGCTGAGAAAGCCAGAAGTGAGGGAAAGGAATTCATTTTGGTCTAAGCCACTTGCCGCTTGTGCTGCTATGAACTGACACGGGCATTCTTATGCAGTGGTGAGGGTAGAGGCTCTGGACCTGTAAACCTGAGTTTACGTACAAATGCACCACTTGGGAGTGCTGCTTGATTTCTCCAAGGCTCAGCTGTCTTACCTGCAACTTAGAAGAATATTAATACCTGTTTCACAGCACGATCAGTAGGATGAGATGAGGTATATATATCAGTGTGGACTGATATACTGTCTGACACATAGGGAAAAGCTGACTAAGGAGAAGCTTTCATTTGTATTTAATAGAGGTGAAAGACTGTATGGCAGAATTGCTATCCCCTGCTGCTGCAGCCTGGGATTGAGCCCAGGGTCTCTGACATGGTAGGTAAATGCTCTACAACTGAGCGGAATCCCAGCCCTTATTAGTTTTATTTTACTTAGAGACAGGATCTTGTTTGGTTGGCCAGGATGGCCTTGTGCTTGGGATCCTCCTGCCCTCTGCCTCTTTAGTAGCTGGCATTATACACAGGTACCACCCTGCCCACTTGTGCCTCTTTATGAAGCAACACATAAAAGGGAAAGAAAAGAAAGCACAGGCTGTAAGTCTTGAAAAACAAATTTCTTTTAACTACTACAAGTGACACCCTGTCCCTACTTTTTGTCTCCTGGGTCTCTCTAGGATGTGAAAGCGGTAAGCACGTCAACTTATAAGAGCAAAGATACACTGAACTGCTTCTTTCTTCTCTCCTCTGCAAGAGGCCCTCGGCTCCTGCACATATACCACCCTATTGGCAAATACTATTTCAAAACTCAAGATGTAGATATAGCCACCTCCTGCTTAGCAGGTTACATTTTTTTTTTTTTTTTAGGTTACATTATTGTTCAGGTTACATTACTGTACAAGATTAACTGGCCCAATTGAACTCAGGACCCTATACTTACTTGCTAGGCAGGCACTGTGCCACTGAACTACATCCCTGCAAGAACAAGTCTCTGCAGACAGCAACCACCAGCACAATGCAGTCTTCTGTGCTAGAGGCTGCTGCCTGATCTAACCAGGCCACACTCCTCCTATCTGCTTTGCAGCTATCATAGACCACAGAAAATTACTAGTGTGGGTTTAGATTTTAAATAAATGAGTGGTATATTCCATGTAGTCTGGTGCTGTTAAAGGAAATTTAAAAATTTCTGAGAAGCGACTTTCCAATTTTAAAAGAATTCATTCTTGGGCCAGGGATTTAGCTTAGCGGCACAAGCAACTATCTGGCAAGTGCTAGGTTATGAGTTTGATTTCTGGTACCAAAAAAAAAAAAAAAAAATCATTCTTTCAGTTAATCTGAAGCCCACACAGGAGGGTAAAATTCTTCACAGAGCAAGTTAATTCCTACTAATTAAATCATACAGGATTCTCAACACTTCTGAAACAGCGAAGGCCACAGGACAGCCAAATGTCTCATGTGCTGTTAGGAAGAGTCTGCTAGTCAAATGTAGATCCATACCTAGGTTTTCCTGCACAAATTCCTTTTGAGGCCTTACCTGGACACATCACATTATCAAAGAATGAATTCTGAAACTTAAAACTTTAAATTCTTTCTCCTTTCCCTGGATGAGAAAGCTTTCAGTTATGAGATGGAAGTCTCACAATTTCTGCATTTCTCATTCCATAAATGCTTCATTCCAGCCCCATTCCAGATCTGTGCTTGAAGAGCTGGCTTGAAGGCTTTAGTTAACAGTCTAGATTATAAACACAGGGCTCTGCACACCTGGTGTTTACTATCAGGGACCACTCTTGCTACCACATGTTCACATCTTAAGTTGTGACAGTTACTGCAGGTTTCTTTCTCCTGCTAGACCATCAGCATCTGTCTGATTCAATTTCTCATCTATCCCCAAACCCTTGCACAAAGAGGGACTTTGAAAAATATTTGTGAATAAATGCTAGTCACAGGGGAAGTCCTCAACAAAATCCTCTTCAGAACTAGGGCAACACTGCCTATCTTCTGTGAACAAAACAGAAAGTCTATGTATATTATGTTCATGCATGCTTGGGAGTCTCAAATATACAACCCAAACTATTCAGCAGTGAATATCTCTGGGGTAACAGATTTGGAGCAGGTGAGAAAAAAAAAAAAAAAAAAAAAAAAGAGATCTTTCTTTCAAAATATTTTATTGAGTTTTTAACAAACAGTATTCTCATGTT